ATTGTGGAAAACATAATCCCATTTCATGCCATTGAAAGGATCGTATTAATTCCTGAAAATTTTTTTACAGTAAAGATGTGGCACTTAGGCTCTGATGTCCATCTCTGGGGTGTTATCTCATGGCTCTGGAGAGGATGGATGACTGGTTTGCCACAAGCAGGATCAACTTCTAAATCCTGCCAAGTACTACACTGTAAATCCAGGCATAGTAAAGATAAGGTCTTCCTCAAAGCAATATTTTAATGTACAGACATACACACTTCACGACTACGAAATGTGGTGCTACTTGAAAGAAAGGTTACTGATTTGTAGCAAAATATATTAGAAGTGATGTGAAAGAAAGATTCTGCCTTTTTTCATTTTACGTTTCAGCAGGCCCTGCATGATGCCCAGGGTCAGTGCTGAAAACAGGCCTTTATAAATCTAAAACGCACGAACGTCTCCCAAGTTTTTGCCTGGCAAATCTTTCTTTCCACTTCAAATCCACTTGGGTCCTAAAAGAATTTGGGTCAAATGGAAAAACGACTCAAGGAATTCACCGCACAAGTGATTGGTGCTCGGCTACACAAAGAGTAAAGGAAAATGCTTTTTTGGAGCTGATGCGTGAGGCCGCAGAAGTAAACTCCTAGGAAAAGTAAGAGCCTGCTCTCTAAACAGCTTCCTGCACGATAAAAGGGAGGCAAACTCTGCTCCATCTCAGGGAGGGATGGGTCCATCAGCGCTCGCCGTCCCCCTCTGCAACGCCAGGCACCGGCATCACCCACGCAGCGTGGGATGTTCAGCATCACCCACTGAACAAAGCCACACTCTGCTTCCCAGTGGGTGCTACACTACTGAGCACACTAAAATTTACAGATGCATCCACTTTTTTTTTTAATATTCTACCAAAATAAAAAAATCCAGGACAGCCATTCTCTCACAAGCTCTCTCAAGAAAATAAAAGGAAAAGGTCCAAATACCAGCTCAGGCAAACTTTAGAAAGAAGCTGGTTTCCTTCAACTAGTACATGCAGCTGATTTCAACATTTCATGATCGCCTCATATAGCAAATGCCAGCCTGACATTGAATCGTTGAGTCATTGCACCGTATTTCAGAATTTATCTTCGGGTCAAGTTAATGTTTGAAAAGAAACAAATGCAGCTGATAGCGCTGGGTAAACAGTGACTGTTTCTGTTTGGGATCACGCCTGCTCCTGTTTGCCCTGTGTAGGGCTAAAAAAAGAAAAAAAAAAACCAAACCCACCTCACAACTCCTCCGTGCCGTGGGATCACCACAGCTGTAAAGTACTATGAAAATTATTAATTGCATAAACTGACCTCAACACCTCCTGGTTTTAAAGCAATTGGTTATATAGAGCTTGGGATCCTGAGACTTTATAGGGAAGCAAAACTTAGAGAACTAAACAATTTAAAAACAAAAGTACAAACATAATAGCTTCGACAGTTTCCCACACCAAGCATCTGGCTTGGTATGATTTGTCACAGGTCCTCTCAAGGAGAAAAAAAAAATAAAATAAAATAAAAGGCTGCAATCTGCAATCTCTCACTGAGGGAGAAAGAAAGCCCAGATATCTTGCCTTAAAACATGGTCAATTTGTTATAGGTAGGGTTTTAATTCTTCCCTTGTGAAAAACGGCATGATAAACTTTTGTTCTGTTGTGCCAGGCTCTGTTAATCAAGATTTTACTATTGATTTATCCAAGTGAGACCTTTTGTAAAGTATATTCAGGGAAGCCACAATATTCTCAATACAGCCGAGAAGTCATTGTGTTACAGCAACGCAAGCTTTACACTACAATATGTGACCATCGCTCCCTATAATCCAATCTATTAATTCTATACTCACAGACCAAGTAATAATAAAAACTGCATTTATTAACTCCACGGGAGTTAATTGCCAATTTCATCAGAATTTAGGCACAGATGTAAGATGGAAACAGTCAGTCATAAAAGCACTACAAGTTAACTGAGGTTTTTTCACACATTTGACAGTTCTGAAAGTTACTAAGATACATGGCAGCAGATTCTCCCTCTCTCTCCCCAAAAAGCAGGCAACTATAGGAGTATATTTTTCCCTCAAATGCAATACCAAAAAAAGGGTGCATATGGAGAAAAGAATGGAATAGCTTTGTTAGAGTGAGAAAAGCTAAAGAAACTTTTTCTCAAGGGGTAAGGGAAGGACCAAGAAACCCCATAACGAACAGTATTAAACAGTGTTATTCCAATTAAGAGACTTCACATAGGTTCCCCCTTTTTGTATTTTGTGGGAACCTACTCAAACTTATAACTCCCAAAAGCAAGAAAAAATATGGCATGTGGGCCTGTAAGTCCATAAACCCTGGTTTCATGATAAAGCCCGTGCGTAGCCCTTCCACCTATCCTTCACATCCTCGTCCCTTGTCTTCCACCAAGTGCAAGGTCAAAACAGTGATTTTCTCTGTTCACGCTTGCAGATGACTGACTTATTTATAGTAAATTTCCTGTTTTTCCAGCCTTGTAAATGTCATACAAAACAGAGAGCCAATAAAACGTATACATTTCCAGGGTAATATCGCCCTAGCACTTCAGCACCAGTCCATTAGGCACTAAAAACTGGGAAGAGGAGGAGAATCATAGTTAAAAATGTGTTTACAATCTTATCTTCACACTCCTTTGCTGTCTGCTCTAGTGCTGCACACCTCCTGTTAAATGACAGTTGCCATGCCCATAATGAGATTTTTAATCAACACAGAAGTAATGCATTTTAATTAAAACGCTCTCCTTTTCTATGCTTATGAACCTGATCCACGAGGGAGTTCTCCCGCTCCGCGCAGAGCGGCGCGCAGATGCCAGGCTATCATTGACAGGCACAGAGAACTGCTTTCTAGACCACAAAAATATCAGATGATTAAAAAAAAAAAAAAAAGTTTTTCTATTCTACATTCCTCTCTAATAAAGCATAAAAAAAAAAAAAAGAAGGGGGGAGACGCACAGAACTACACAGAACTAAAATCTCCTGGTCAGGGACTTGGTTTTGGCCTCTGGATGAGGATGGTCCAGTGTTTGAGTGCCTGCTCTGATTCCAGGCAGGCTTTTGAACCTTTTTCTCCCAACTTCCAGGTAAATCCAATCTGTATGCTGAAACTCAGTTCTCTGCCCCTTCTTTTGACCATATCCTGGAGCTGAGACACACTTACCACTAAGTTCTGTCATTTCTGGTCTATTTCCGTGTCATGTTTTTATTTAGACTAAAGAGTGTTTCCAAAACAACAGAAAGTTTAATCACTTTTTAAGCACCTTCTTCCATTCACCAACACCGATCACATTGCAACATCAGAAGCTGTACTTTAACACTTCTGCTAAAACAATCACTGTTCAAAAAAAAAAAAAAAAAAACCAAACCAAAAAACCCTGCCTAGTTTCCTCATACTTTTCTCTGCACTTTTCTCTGCCTGGGCAGGGAAACCAGCAGGCTCAGTTTCCCTCCCCACTTCCCAGTGAAGCCGAGAAAACGCAACAGGGAAAAAAAAAACATGTTTGTTTAAAGAAAACTGGTTTTGTTGAGCGTTCCACACTGTTTGCTGGAGTATTTTTACTGACTCTTGGAAATGACTAGCTATGCTTCAGTTCTTCAGCTCCGGGGCAGTTTTGAGCTGACATCCCAGCAAGGGGAGCAGGTGGTGGAGGGGGGACCGCACAGCTCAGCTCCTCTCCGACACCCCATCGCTGCGATCTGCTCTGGAGGTTTGAAGGATGGCTGCGAACCAAGAGCCTGCAGCCCTCTGGCTCTGCTCGTCAGTGAGGCTAAGGACAAGACTTCAGGTGACGGTCCTGCCAGCCGACCGTAAATTTTGTCAGCAGCAACCAGCTGGGTTGAGCCAAGTACAGGAAAAAATCCCTCTCGCACCACCAGCCACTGTAAAATCCCCAATTTAGGGATGCATACATGTCTGGATGACAAATAAACTTTCCCTTAAGGAATCTCTTGGGTGATCCAAAGAAAACTTCCCTTCTTTCCTCCTCTTGGAGCTGACCCCAGGGTGCTCCTCCACCCCAGACACCTCCAGGTGTCCAGCCACAGTCCTCCTGCTCATCCTGCCCTTCCGACCATCCTCAGCCACAACGCTAACAGTCTCCTGGCACTAAACTCAAGTCCTGCCCTGGAAATCACCAGCCCATTAGCCAGGCCTGTTACGCTAACCTGTTGAGCAACTGGTGTGTGTACACGGATGTGAAGTGGCTTTTTTTTAAATCTCACATGGGAGGACTCTTCCTATCCTCTTCCGTGGCCAAATGGGAGAACTACCTGTGTGTGCCTTCACCTGTGCGTGCCTTCACCTGTGTGCCATGGGGCTGGTTTGCCCTCACCCAGGGCAAACCAGGCAGGGAGGGGGGGAAAAAGCAAAGCCAAGCTGACTTTCAGTCAGGGAGGGGAACTGCCCTGGCAGGAGGGTCACAGCTTCTCCCACCCCAGGACGGGCACTCAGCGATCACATGCTGCACTTTTTGAACAAGACTCCAGTCATCACCCAGCAGCGCTGGAAAAGGATGCTCAGCTGCTGGAGGAGGGGATCTCTCCCACATTCCCCCAGCTGCGGGTCTGCCTTGGCTGCTCCAGGGGTCAGCCCCGGACACAGGGCTCCCCCCACAGCACCCGTGGGAGGGACACCCAGGGTGTCCAGGGGTTGCTGGAGGCTCCACGGTGCCTTCGGGAAAAAGTCTCACACAAGTGTTTGCCGTGCCAGAAAACTGCGGGGAGACTCCAGGCTGCGCCAGGACGAGAAGGTGCCCACAGGAAAGGTGTGCACACGAGTGTGTGCGAGCGTGGGAGCACTGCCACACGCAGCGTGCGACTCCCTTCGGGGTCCTGCGCTGCCCCGAAGGGCTGATACTCCTCTCTCCCTTCCGTCCCCCACTCGCCTTTGGCTACCCAGCACCACAGCAGAGGTCCTCCACCTCCCCCGTGGGCAGCGCGGAATGGGTGTCGTCCCCCGGCCCGTCCCCCCGCGGTCCCCCTCGCACCTTGTCGGACGGCTTTCACCACGATGGGCTCCTTGCAGCTCCGGATCACCTCCAGCACGTCGTAACGCGGCAGCCCGGAGACTCGGACCCCCTGCACCTCCAGCAGCAGTTCCCCCTCGCTCAGCGCCGCCTCGCCCGCGTCCCCCACCACCGCGCCCGCGTAAGGGAACTCGCCGTGCTCCGCGCCGCCGAGCAGGGTGAAGCCCCACTGCCACACGCAGCGTGCGACTCCCTTCGGGGTCCTGCGCTGCCCCGAAGGGCTGATACTCCTCTCTCCCTTCCGTACCCCACTCGCCTTTGGCTACCCAGCACCACAGCAGAGGTCCTCCACCTCCCCCGTGGGCAGCGCGGAGTGGGTGTCCCCCGCCCCGGCCCGTTCCCCCGCGGTCCCCCTCACACCTTGTCGGACGGCTTTCACCACGATGGGCTCCTTGCAGCTCCGGATCACCTCCAGCACGTCGTAACGCGGCAGCCCGGAGACTCGGACCCCCTGCACCTCCAGCAGCAGTTCCCCCTCGCTCAGCGCCGCCTCGCCCGCGTCCCCCACCACCGCGCCCGCGTAAGGGAACTCGCCGTGCTCCGCGCCGCCGAGCAGGGTGAAGCCCAGCCGCCCGCCGGGCCCGCGGGTGAGGGAGCACTGCCGTACCCGGCTGGCCCAGTGGTTCTTCTTCTGGACGACCCGCGACATGGTGCCGGGGGGCCCTCCGCGCCCGCGGGAGCGCGGTAAGCAGGTGCGCAGGGGGTGCCGACCCGCCGCCTCATAGACCGCGCCGCCGCCGGCCCCTCAGGCCATTCCCGCCGGCGCCGCGCGCAGCCCGCATGGCTCCGCGCCCGCGGAGGGCACGCGCCCGCCCTTCGCCGCCCCTCTCCCGTCTTATTTCAAAAAAAAAAGAAAAAAAAATTAAAAAAAAAAAATAAAAAAACCAAAACAACACTGAAAAATCAAACCCGGCTCTTCCTCGCCTTCCCGCGCTGCTGTTCGCTTTTGCTGCGCGGGGCGCGGAAAGGCAGCGGCGGCGCCGCGAAAGGCGCTACAAAAAGCCCCGTTTGTTTTGTTCCTACTCGGGTCCGTCCCGCTCCGCCGCTCTCCGCTCCGCTCCGCGCCGCCCGGCGCAGGCGCCCTGGCACACCCCGCCCCGCCCCGGCCCGGCCCCCGCCGCTCCCCGCCCCCGACACCGATCCCATGGGATGGGACGGGATCGGTCACCCCGTGCCCGGCCCCCGCCGCTCCCCGGTGTCTCCCCCCTTCCCTCTCCCTTCCCCCGCGGCCGCGGTGCCGGTGCGCGCCCCGCGGAGAACTTTTCCGAAGGGACAAGTGGGTGTCCCGGGTGAAAGCCCGCGGCGGGAATCGTTGGCCAAAGAAGGGGCTGAGGGGGGGTCCCCGCTGGGAGGTTCAGCCCCTGGAGATGCTCCCCGCGGTGCAGGGGAAGAGGGATGGCGATTCTTTGCGTTCCCCGGGGGATTTTGGGGGGGTTTTCTCCCAAGTTGCAAACCTCCGGGGCTGCTGCTCGCCTGCGCTTTCCAGGCTGTGATGGGAGAGGACACCATGTAGCTCAAGCCCCGAGGATAAACTTGCCCAAGCCCATCGTCAAAGTGGTCTCAAAGTGCCTGCATAAGCCCAAGTGAAAGCTACACCCATGTCCTTAGTTCACGCCTTCTCGATGTTTTAGCACTTGAACTCGCAGTGTTAATTATGTTCTTTCTCATACGTTGTTTTCATAGAATCATAGAATTGCCCAGGCCAGAAGGGACCTCCGAAGGTCATCTAGTCCGACCTCCCCGCAGTCAGCAGGGACACCCCCAACTAGACCAGGTTGCCCAGGGCCTCGTTGAGCCTCACCTTGAATATCTCCAGGGATGGGGCCTCAACCACCTCCCTGGGCAACCTGTTCCAGTGCTCCACCACCCTCACAGTAAAGAGCTTTCTCCTAATCTCCAATCTAAATCTGCTCCCCTCCAGCTTGAAGCCATTTCCCCTCGTCCTGTCACTGCAGGCCTTTCTAAACAGGCTCTCCCCAGCCTTCCTGTAGGCCCCTTCAGGTGCTGGAAGGCCGATATTAGGTCTCCCCGGAGCCTCCTCTTCTCCAGGCTGAACAACCCCAGCTCCCTCAGCCTGTCCTCGTAGCAGAGGTGCTCCAACCCCCTGATCATCCTCATGGCCCTCCTCTGGACCTGCTTCATCAAGTCCATGTCCTTCCTATATTGAGGGCTTCAGACCTGCACACAGTACTCCAGGTGAGGCCACCAAAGTGGCAGAATCACCCCTCTAGATCTGCTAGCAACACTTCTTTTGATGCAGCCCAGGATGTGATTTGCCTTCTTACATTTTCCCCATGTAATTGTTTAGAAGCTGGAAGGACCTATAGCAAGGTCTGTCCACTGGGGAAAGGGCCGTGCATCCATTCATTTGCCCTTGGCCAAGACTCCTCAAAGTTACCCAGAACTGGTGCAAACCCCGCAAGGGGAAGGTAAGTAAGCGTGCACGTACCAGCTGTCCCTTCCAGGTCATGCTCTGTGCTTCCAAACCTGAAAGCTGGGCCTCATTTTGAGCAGTCTTATGCATGACCGAACCCCTTCCAGCAAGGATTTCAGTTGTCAGATGTGCGTGCGCCCTATTTTGCTGCTAATCGGGGCTGAGAAGTGACACAGGGAAACGAGGAGCCTGGGCTCCATCCTGGCGCTGCCCCAACGGCTGCCCTGCCAGCACAGCCCCCAGCCTTTCCCTGCCGTCCACGTCACGCTCTCGTCTCGCATCTTTCAAGCCATGTGTGTCCCAAAATGATCAGCTCTGGGAGCCTGTGTGCGATTGCTGGGGATGGAGCTCAGCCTAACGTCCTCCAGTGCTCAGAGATCTAGGAAGAGTGACGGGGCACCTTCCCTGCCCTTACGTCTGTCCTAGATGAAGTAGGGGAGCCTGTCCTTCCCCCCACCCTGCATCCCTATCACTCCTTTCCCCCAGGGGAGATCTCTTATATGGCTATTTCGCAAAATCCCCATCGCTGCAGGCGCTGCTCGGCAGCCACAGAAGCCACAATCTCCAGCCACCTCGAATGAGAACGCTTTGTCCAATGTCAACCAGCACAGCAGTGAGTCAGCTCCCTCCCCTGTGCCTCAGGCACCCCTGTCCCGGGAAGCAGATGGGATTGCCAGTGCTCAGGAAGTTGGAATAAGTACCTGAGCCCCTTCCAAGGAGCGGGGCAGAGCCTGCCTTCCCGGGTGTGAAGGGCAAACAGACTCATGAAATTCAAATCACCTGCTGTGTCTTAGCCCTTGTTTTCTGCCACCTCTCCAAGAGGTTTCTCTCCATTTGGAACTTTAATACTTCATTTTTGGGCTTAAAGCTGTGCTCATCCCCTATGTTTGAGCAGCAGTAACTGCCTTACATCTTCTTTCACTGGCTCTGTAACCGGCTGCCCAATTTGTCACTTTGAGGACAACGGCATGCTTTTTACTGTACCTTGACCAGTAAAACCTGGATCAGTGATCAGAGGACTAAGTGCTCAGGAGGCCTGTGAACCCAGAGGAGCGATGGTGTGGCTAACGGGGCAGGGTTCCTATCTCATCTGCGTGCCAGCTGGTGGTTGTGTCACAGGCGTGAGCTCACAGCGCAAGGAGGCTCTTGTTCACAGCTGAGAGCTGGGCGTGACGTATTTTCATCACCATCATTTTGCGGGATGTGTTATGTGACAGCTCTGCCAAGCTAAAATTCATCTGGGATCCATGTGAGTATCACATGAGCTGTGGCTGCCCTGAATAGATCTTACAGAGCTACTCATGCCTCATGGAAAAAATCTTTGAAAAACACCATTTAGAAAAACAGTTTTGCTAGTAAGATTTATGAGACGACAGATTTCCAAGGGCCATTTTCTGTTTGCTTACAAACACTAATGCAAGTGTGAGCTGTTCCGGTTGTAATCCTAATGCTGTATTCATGTCTGGGCCACTGTGTTCCCAAAAATTGTTCTTGCTGGTAGTTAACAAAACCCTCACACCTCAGCCAAAACTTTTTCTTGACTTTAAGACCTTCTCTTCAGTTTTCCTCCATGACCAGCTTCTTACCATTTTATCTCCTAGTTGCATCCGGTAAGGAGTGGCTGATGAAGCTGTTGGTGAAGCATCAGGATAGCTCCAGATGCTAGAAGCTGGTATCACTTGTAGCAGGTCAAGTATAGCCAAGATTTTTCATCATCTCCATTCCTGACCCTGCGACTGCCCAGCAGCTCGCTGCTGCAACAAGATGATTTCAGGACATCACTGCTCCAGCCACCTCTATTAAAGGAAGCCCTTGGTCAGCGATTAACAGTGTGGAGCCCATGACACGGCTGCTCCTGCCCAGGAGAGTCCCTGACACCAGCCTGATAGATAATCAGGTCATTACACCGTACAAAAACCTGCATTTCAGCATGGCCTCTCTCCCAGGGGACGGGTGGTCCTGGCTTTGCAGGAAACTGATTTAATGATTAACAGACCATTTTCATCTCTAACTGCAGTTCTAATAACAATACCCTCCTTTTTGCAAGGGTCTCTGAGCACTTTATGAACATTCATTAATGAAGTTTCACGGGGCGCCTGGGGAACAGCTGAACGTTAAGACGGGGTAGGGAGAAGCTCAGGCACATCCCTCACCCCAGCAAGGCTGGCTGCAGCCCTCCTGCCTCACCTGCAGCAGCTGGTCCAGCATCATCTCACATGGGACAACACACTCTTAACAGCTCACAGCCCACGACAGCACGGATAAAACCTGATTCAGGCCAGCTCAGAGCTTTAAGCAGAGCCCAATTCCCTTGCTTTGTTATCTCCCGTCATCATGGTTTGGTGGCCCATCTGTCAGCAGCCTCTAATCTGCTGGGATGAGTGTGCTGATGTTTTCTTCCTCCTTCAGAAGGTACCCTGCACGCTTTGGGTCCTGCTGCAAACACACACCAGCATCTAAAATGCTTCTTTCAAATAGGATATCGACCCACGGTCTTGGTCTCAAAAGCACCTCTGAAATTTCATGCTGTGCCCTGGATTTTAAAATGGGTCAAAGCTCCCCCAAGCTTCAAATCATTCTCTCAGATTTCATACTAAAACTAGAGAAAACCACAGTTTTACTGGTTTGGGGATAAAAAAACATGTCTAGTGTCTGAGAATGTTGTGGGTTTATGGCAGCACAGAGCCATGTGCTCCCACCAGAGAGCATAAAAAAAAGATGACAATGATTAAGGCTATAAACAGAAGTACAGATTATTTAATACAGGAGAAGTTATTCTTAACTTCCAGCTACAAGTAAACCCTCAATACGCTGATAGCACAGGCCTCAAGGCTTTGAAAGACTGAGTATGTGGATCTTGGGAGAAAAAGAGACTTTAAACAAGGTCCAGCCTTTCAGATGTTGAGGTTTCCTGTTGGTACACTCATCCCACCAGTATCTGTCAGTAGGAAAACCACGTACTCCTGTATTTCCCAAAACAGGAATTGTTGTTCTTAGTAATCCCACCTCACTTTTACAGGAATTGTTGTTCTTAGTAATCCCACCTAACTTTTATCAATCAGAGACGAATATGTTGTGTGGCGTCCAGTATTTCTGGAGAAGCTGGCGCTGCTCTCTAGTAGTGAGGAGGAGCTGGGATGTTGCTGCTTTGAGTCCTGGCTCTGGCAAACATTTCAACTGATGACCCTACTGCAGATACCGATTGTCCACTTTATTTGTAGAAAACCTCCCAAGTGTCAGGACACGAGTTCTGGTTAAAGCCACGGAGCAGCCAGCACGGACGGATACTGCCTAAATTCATTTGCAGAGTTGGGCCAGTAAGCTCCATCCCCAAAGGATGGACATCTCCAGCCTCCCACAGCAGAGTGGTGGGATCACATCCCATGGCTCTCTCCCCGGAGTAAATCTGTGACCATGGGATCCTAAGAAGAAAAAAGGCAACTCATCCCTTACTGGGATCCCCTGTGTCACCTTCCTCTACAATTTATTCCAACAATATCACACACAATGGAATATAAAGCTGAAGATCAATCTCATAACCATATTAAGACACTCTGGGGTGTATTTTATAGGGCCATTAATATACTTCTTGGGTGGTTAAAGTCCTTTTTGCAAGGGTCTCTGAGCACTTTATGAACATTCATTAATGAAGTTTCACGGGGCGCCTGGGGAACAGCTGAACGTTAAGACGGGGTAGGGAGAAGCTCAGGCACATCCCTCACCCCAGCAAGGCTGGCTGCAGCCCTCCTGCCTCACCTGCAGCAGCTGGTCCAGCATCATCTCACATGGGACAACACACTCTTAACAGCTCACAGCCCACGACAGCACGGATAAAACCTGATTCAGGCCAGCTCAGAGCTTTAAGCAGAGCCCAATTCCCTTGCTTTGTTATCTCCCGTCATCATGGTTTGGTGGCCCATCTGTCAGCAGCCTCTAATCTGCTGGGATGAGTGTGCTGATGTTTTCTTCCTCCTTCAGAAGGTACCCTGCACGCTTTGGGTCCTGCTGCAAACACACACCAGCATCTAAAATGCTTCTTTCAAATAGGATATCGACCCACGGTCTTGGTCTCAAAAGCACCTCTGAAATTTCATGCTGTGCCCTGGATTTTAAAATGGGTCAAAGCTCCCCCAAGCTTCAAATCATTCTCTCAGATTTCATACTAAAACTAGAGAAAACCACAGTTTTACTGGTTTGGGGATAAAAAAACATGTCTAGTGTCTGAGAATGTTGTGGGTTTATGGCAGCACAGAGCCATGTGCTCCCACCAGAGAGCATAAAAAAAAGATGACAATGATTAAGGCTATAAACAGAAGTACAGATTATTTAATACAGGAGAAGTTATTCTTAACTTCCAGCTACAAGTAAACCCTCAATACGCTGATAGCACAGGCCTCAAGGCTTTGAAAGCCTGAGTATGTGGATCTTGGGAGAAAAAGAGACTTTAAACAAGGTCCAGCCTTTCAGATGTTGAGGTTTCCTGTTGGTACACTCATCCCACCAGTATCTGTTAGTAGGAAAACCACGTACTCCTGTATTTCCCAAAACAGGAATTGTTGTTCTTAGTAATCCCACCTCACTTTTATCAGAGACGAATATGTTGTGTGGCGTCCAGTATTTCTGGAGAAGCTGGCGCTGCTCTCTAGTAGTGAGGAGGAGCTGGGATGTTGCTGCTTTGAGTCCTGGCTCTGGCAAACATTTCAACTGATGACCCTACTGCAGATACCGATTGTCCACTTTATTTGTAGAAAACCTCCCAAGTGTCAGGACACGAGTTCTGGTTAAAGCCACGGAGCAGCCAGCACGGACGGATACTGCCTAAATTCATTTGCAGAGTTGGGCCAGTAAGCTCCATCCCCAAAGGATGGACATCTCCAGCCTCCCACAGCAGAGTGGTGGGATCACATCCCATGGCTCTCTCCCCGGAGTAAATCTGTGACCATGGGATCCTAAGAAGAAAAAAGGCAACTCATCCCTTACTGGGATCCCCTGTGTCACCTTCCTCTACAATTTATTCCAACAATATCACACACAATGGAATATAAAGCTGAAGATCAATCTCATAACCATATTAAGACACTCTGGGGTGTATTTTATAGGGCCATTAATATACTTCTTGGGTGGTTAAAGTCACCCACAGCATAAATTAATGGCTCCATAAAACATACTCTGTCATATCCTATGGCTTAAATAACACACAACAGGCTGGGTATATTGGGATGTTGTTGAGCTCATTGGGTGGAACCACAAGGGCACAGAGTGACCACCAGACAGCAGGTACACCCTCAGGGATGCTGGCCTCAGGGTGTCTTGCAGATTGTGTGAAACCAACAGTCATTATAAAAAGCAAGATTCTAAAACAAAATCCTACACAATTAAAAATCGTAGGTCTCATTAGCTTTCATTACCATTTGTGCTCCCTGAGTTTATTAGTCTTTTTCAGGCATATCTTCCCTGCAGAAGCTGTTGCTATTCCAGGATATGATTGCTGTGGGTGCGGCTGTTTGGCAAGGAGGGAGTCAGGCTGCTCCCAGCCTTGGAAAGGGCCCGAAAAGTCCGGAGTGGAGGGGAGAGGGTACAGCCTGTTGGTTACAGCAAGGATCAGACTGGCATTGTGAAGGAAGCAGAGCTTGCCACATGTTTCAACTCCTATGAATTTCAGGCAGATATTATGGGAGTGGAGGTCTGGTTCACACAGGAGCATTTCCAAACACTATTTCCAAAAAGGAGAAAAAAAAAAAATTGAAAAAGAAAAGTCTTGACTTTTCTAGTCTTTCTTGACTATGATCTAGTCACAGAAGGAGCAAGTTCCTGCCCCTAGTCTGGTAGATATTAAGTCGCATTCTTCCCTAGGAATTTTTCTTGTGCTATTTTAATGGTTCCACATGAGTTACCAGAGACTTTTCAGCAGACAATAGTTCTGCCCTGCTAAGATAAGCTATCCCGATTCATCTGTCTCAGCTGATAAACCTCCCCCCTTTCTGCTTCTGCTGCACAAAAAAGGAAAAGGACTCACATTTTTGCTCAACTCAACTGTCCAAGGCACCAACACTCGCCTAAACTTCAGTCTCATTCACTCCTCCTTTGTTACCCTCCTCCTTCCCCATGCAGATACCCAGAGAGTCACTTCGTGCCCTCAAACTCCACCACCAGCTCTTCTGAGACTAATGGAGATGCCGTTCCTGTCCTTCCCCTGCTTTCTACACAGTACCACTTCTCTATCGCATGCTCTGTATCTTCTCTCTATTTTCTCTATCTATCTTCAAGGCATAAAACTTGCTATTCATTCCCCCTAAAAAATCCTGAAAACTAGCAGGAGACAGCTAAATCAGGAAAGACTTCTGCTATAAGTCTTTATGGCGCCATAAAGAAAAGGCAAAGTCTGAACCTTTCAAAGATGCTGCGTGTTGAGTAAGTTGATAGTCCCTTGTGATGGATGTGTATTCGAGTCGGGTGGCTTAAATACAGAAAAAAAAAGCTGGAAGAAAAAGCTTGGAAAAAACTCACCTCTCTCCCATAGCACAGCCTGGTTCAAACAGCTCGTGTGGAGCTAATTAAAGGTGTCAATCTCATGATTTGGTTTGAAAATAAAACTAGCCACAAAGGCTCAGCTTCCCAAAACTAACTGGCACACGGGATTGAGTCGGTGCAGTATCTTGTCTGCCAGCTTCACTATACAGGGTTTTTTTTTCTCAAAAATGAAGAACTGAAGCACAGAATCATAATAGCAATTCTGAATAAAGAATAAACTGCAGAAATCCCTTCCCACCCAGTAAAAACTCTAAACGGGGAAAAGATTTCTACAATAGAGAATCGATTTCACCCTTACCAAAAAATTGCTCAAGTACCCTCAATAGGATTAAAAAAAATATATTAGTAAGTAGCAATAAAGCAGGATGATGGGACAAGCTGAGGTTTTGGGAAGGAGTTCCTCTGGAGCAGTATCTATGTGTTCTTCCTTCAACAGTGAGGAATAGCTGGGAGGTCCCTCTCTGGATCATAATTATAATTCTGGCAAAAGCCATGACAGACAAGGCAGCAACATGCAGCACGGCCCTGATCCTGCAGCCATCTGGGGACTGGCTTTACTTTGCTCATGAGAATAATTTACAGGCATCAGACAAGCCACATGTGTAAGGCTGAGCACACACATAAATGTTCTCAGAAGCAGAGCCAATTAACACACCACAAGATATCACTCAGTGATTTAGAAGATATACAAACCCTGTCTTGCTTTTTGAAGCACTGAAGCAGAAGAATTCATGGCGGTGTCTGATGCTATATCTTCACAGAGATGTCCCTGATCAGCTTACTGCTTGCTGGTCCCACAAGAGCATCTTTACGCTGAAGCAGCATCTACTGAACGTACGGGCTTGGTCCAACAAAAGCAGCATCTTGGATAGGAGGCGCTTCCCCTGCGGTGCCATACCCCCTGTGGAAAGATTATGATCATCATTACTATTTATATATAATAACAGCCAGAAGCCTTGGCTGGGATAAATGGCTCCCAGGGTTAATGTGGCCAAACAAAGGGAGATGCTCCGTTTCTCCAAGCAGCTCCAAAGAGGAACCCGGGGCCTGGGAGCAGGTCAGTGGCAGTTGGGATTAGGATTCCTGACTCCCTGCCTGGCGTCCTAATATTAGCTCGCATTGTCTCCCAGACCCTCTCGTCATTCTTTTGCATGAACCGTGGGCCCGAATTAGCATGTCTCGCTGCAGAATCTGCCAGCCCGTCCTGCGTTGTGCTAAAATAGTCGGGGACTGAGCAAACATCATGGGAACAGCTCTCGTACAGCCTATGTGGGCTAAGTTGTTCCTACAGCATTGTTCGCTCCTTGTTTTCCTAGCATCGTCTCAGAAGTATGAGGGGCCGGATCCCGGAGCTGTGGGCTCTCCGCTTGTTCGTGCTCCAGCCTGGTCCTGCTCTCCAGTGCGGCGCAGAGATGAAAAGCCAGCTCAGCAGCAGCTCTGCTGGGAGCCAGCTTTGGGAAGAAGTGTTAACAAATAAACTCCAGTTGGGTGGCAGATGAGCAGACCAAGAAGCGAGCGGCAGCGCTCGGGCTTGTACGACCGCCAGCCCATCCTCGCGGCACACGTCAGCCTCCTCCTTGGTGTGGGTTTTACGAGCCTCCTTCCCTTGTTTCGTGTTCAGCGATGGGCTGATCGGTTTTTGTCTGCCACGTGGGCTTCTTATCTCATCGTGTCCTCCAGCTGCGAGCTCAGGGCTGCCCATAAAAATACACAGCACCCAGCACAACGGGGCTGTGGGCTGATAGTGTTTCGAGCCGGTGCCCGCAGTGAGTTTCGGTTGGCTTTGAGTCAAGCTCCTCCTGCTACCAGGGGCCGATGGCATTAATTTCCACCACATTCATTATCCTCGCATGGAGCAACCCCCATCTCTGTGAAGCGGGGCTTTAATTGGAAGCAGAGAGATATGGGGAAACCGCAACAAATCCCATCTTGACTGTGGGTCACTCAGTAAATACCCACCATCTCCTCCCCAGGTAGGGGAGTGCTTGAAAGGCACGGAGGGTTGAGCAGAGCAGCAGGTAAAGTGAGAAGGGGATGGCGTGGGAGAACCTGGACCTCCAGGACCCAGTCACAGGACTGGTTTTATAAGGTGCATGCAGGGTCTTGGCCAGCAGCAACTGAAAGACAAGCGACTCACTGAATATTATCCCTTTCTGGCAACAAGATCAGTGCAGTCAATTAGCTGTAAAATCTGAATCATGTCTCTGGCAGGCAGGCTCGAAGAGGAAGCGGCTCCACCTTCCTGCTCTGCCCAACGGAGGTCAAAGCGTCCACTGCAAAGCGTTCTGCCGACAGCAGCTTGCCAGACCCGTCACCAGCAGCCACCGCAGAGGGGATAAATCAGAATATTGCTCCCGTCACGCAGCGGGGACAGCTCAACTCCCAGCCCTCAGCATGAGGTCATGGAGGCTTTCCACAATCCAAGGACCACTTAGGAAAACCCTGAGCAAGATAGCCATCCACACAGCACCACGTATGGATGGACATCATATCTCCCACACATCCTTCAACACCATTTTACTGCTAGGCTCATTTCTTTTTTATTACTGTAGAATTAAATCTTAACACTCCTGGACTTGCATCAAATGAGCTTTCAGTTGAAGATCTGGATCCATGGAAACAGAATTGTGTTGTACAATGACGGACTCAGTCCACTGCCCAGCAGAGGGCCAAAACTGGGAGAAGGGAGCCCATCAGAGGATGGCCCGCAGTGAATTACTCATGCCTGCTTTTGGGAGCTGTTGCTCCCCAACGACTCTTTAGAGACAACATCTGAAGCAACAGAACAGTCTTTGCATTTCTAATATGCTGGCATTTCTAATAACGCTGCTCCTGGCATATACCTTCCTGGTTTCCACCTCCTCTGTGTGTCACTAGGCCTTACCACTGGAAACGAGTTGTCTTTGTCCTCCATGACACAACGGGGACTAGACTCCAGGCACATTAGCAAAGTCGGAGGCTTGCTTTGGACAGGGGCCAATTTCAGCATGTCGATAATTTATAAAATCGCATTGCTCTCCCGCCAAGCAAGTTTCAGTTCCTAGATGATTCAGCAGCAGCACCACAAGGAAATATGGATGTGAAAAGTCCCCGTAGGAATTCCTGTGAAATTCTGCATTAAAATAAAATGCCCCAAGCCCAGCAGTAGGATGGAAATTGGGAATTAAGGATCACTCCCTCTGTGCCTGCAGGGACTCCTAAAACCTGGGAAATTTTTAGTGGAGTTTCAGGGCAGGAAGAGGAGAAAGAGCAAAGGCAGAAGACCAGAGAGGGGGAGGATTCTGGGGTGGAGGAGGAAGGGAAATAAAGCTCCAGGTTTTGTTTTGGCCACTTTGCAAGCGCTGCAACTCTGTTGTCATTGAAAACATGAAAATCCTCTGTGCAGGTAAGGGGAAAATTAGAGTGAGAAACCTCTACAAACAGTTTTTCGGAAGGCAGGCTGGGAAATGGGAAGTATAAAGAGCCAAGGACAGCTCCAAAGCCCATCCGAGCACTTTGGGTTTTGGATGTGATCCATGTCTATTTTAAAGACGGATGAGAAAAGGAAATATAAAAGGAAAAGTACCACAAAACTGCCCAATGCAAATTAATTTCTGATAGGGCATGGAAGCCAAAGATGAAATATTCATCTCTTTGTGTCTTCTGACCTCTTCCAATTCATTATCCTAATGTGAGCTCCAGTACCACAGCTAGCTTTTGCCTGCACGCAAAGTCAGCAGAGACCAGGTGGCACTTGCACAAGGTATAACAGCTCTTCTGAACAGATTTCAAAGGGAGACGGAGTGAAGGGGACTAAGAGCTATAAAACCACTGCAATGGCACTAAGTTATTTCAAACGTAGTTACTGGATAAATTCCTATTTGCTCAGAAACACTTCCCAAGAGAGAGCACATCCCCAGTTCCCTGCTTTTATCATTTGACTCTATTGCCCACTCACCCTGCGATGCCCAGGAGCACTTTGCAAGGTCGAGGGGCTGTTTCTGAGCAACCTGAACCCCATTGAAGCAGCCTCTTCCCCTTAAGTGAGGTTTTCCAGCCTGGTCCTGGCAGAGACCTCACCTGTGTGCAATTTGGCAGCCACCCCACAATTTGAGGCACTCAGCATCCTGCAGCCAACCCTCCCTGCCTGCCTCCCTGACCTGCCGTGTGCCTGCCTTTACTGCCGTCAGTCGTCTCCACAAGCAGCATTTTCATCCTTCCTTTCATAAAGAAAATCCGTTTACATTTCACGGTGCAGCACAGACCTGATCCTCTATTCTTACAGCCATGGGAATCCTACCACGGGCTCCCCGGCAGCCAGGGCTGGCTGCTGTACTCAGCCTATTGAAATTCCCTGTATTTTAAGTCCTCCTGGTTTTAATTGCTGCTCAGCGCTGACATTTCAAAAGGATGCTTCTTTGCTCCTTCTTTTGTGTGGAGCCTGTTTGTGTTTTTTTGCTCACTGCTGTCTCTTCCCTGGAGCCCTTGCTAATGAATGCAGCATGCTGGTGACCTCTCCATTATAAATAGTTTAATATTTTTAAATAAATATGGGATGGTGCCATGATTGTGTGGGTATTTCATCTAGCCTGCAGCATAAGGAGCCAGAGCTGACAAAGGCAACCGCAGCTTTATTTGTCATTCTCTTGCTTGTTTGTCACAGAAAGCAAGAAGAAGGGGCCAGGACCCTGTACTGCAATGTACAGCAGCAGATGTGTTATTCTAAATGTATCACAAGAAGCTGCTCCTCACCCTCGTGCAGCAGATGGATGCAATAAAGAGAAAACTTTTGGGTTGTTATTTGGTTACTTGCAGTCTATAGCGCTGCAAAACTATTAGCTGAGCCACAGAGTGAATCAGAGGAAGGTACATGGTGGGGGGGGGGCAATTCTGTTATATGTTTTTTCCACTGCATTGCAACAGAATTAACACATTAGCCTGACATTTAGCTGATATAATTTATTCCTAATTTGGGAACAAAATTCATTCTGAGCAGTAATATTAAAACATCAAAACCCAAACCAAACCAAAAGTGACAAAGGAGAAGAGAAAGGAGACGAGCCTGAGTTCAGGTCAAATTTGGCAACATGGAAATTAAGTTTTCAGCCCATCAACTTCTGTGTTCCTAATTTCCCTTCTTTCCTTCTGGGTGTATCCAGATTTCTGCTCTATGCAGGTCACATGGGGTAGGTCAAAATTTGCTTGTTCCTCACAAGAAGCTTCTCAGACAGTAATAAACTCCTAGAAAGTTCACCCAAATAGTACCCAAGGATTGCCTTCCCACAGGCAACTCCCAGGTGGCATGAAGCCAGGATTGATGCTCCACATCTTCCATTCCCAGCCTCTGATTTTACCGAGGCATGGGGTGTGAACAGGGACCGCTGCCAACGCAGTAATTTACAGCAATGCAATCCATCCCCATGGACAAGGAGGAGCAGCGATAGCTGATACCAGCTGTTCCCCAAATGTTTCCACCGACAAGCCTGCTTCTGGGCTTAAAAATCCAGCTTCCAGATTTGAGAAACCCACTTTTGCGGTTGCAAGATTCCTCCTGCAGCCAAGCATCCATCAGGCTCGTTGCACTGCTGCCTCCTCGCTGGGTTCCTCTCCCTTACACCCACTTTACTCATGCAAGAGGGTGCACAGTCATCCCTGATGATGTGCCCTCCTGCCTGCTGCAAGCCTCCAAACTCAGATAAGCACCTTTCTCCCCCTCTGAGTAGTCATCTGAACTCCCAAGTGCCACGTCTAAGCCCCATCAGCCTTTCTCCCTTTGAGCCTGGCTCGCTGGAGAACCACTTAACTTGTGCACGCTGTAGTCCTTCTCCATGGAATAGCAACAATTAAACAATCTCATGCAAGTGGATGGGGAATGAAGGTCACAGTTATTTTTAAGTGACTTTACGCTGAGATTAATGAGGAGGCAGTCTGAAGCTATACACAGCTTCTTGCTTGCTATTTCTGACCTCATTCCTTCCCGTGCAGCTTCCTCCGATGGTGTTGTACCACAGGAGTGGTGTAAGGGAGGATGTCTCGACGCACACCAAGCCTCACCATCACACATGCATTTACCCCCAAAATGGGGAGTTTGTGCATTAAAACACCGTACTCACCTGGCATGGACTTCAACTGTTGGTATTAGGAATAGCAGAGAAAATGTGTGCCCTCAGGAGCAGCAAGAGACAACCAGCAGCTCTCCTGCCCCTGGAGAGTAAAGAGAGGCAAAAACATATAGTGAAAGAGACACTTTTGGAAACAAAAAGCTTTGCAAAGAGCAATGTGACACCACCTACCTCAGCCCCAGAGCTTGGAGTGTGAACTGAACTCAGTGGTACAGCAGAGAGGTATAATTACCTAATTGCCTCTAAATCGTGTCATTTATTAAATGCCTTACATGGTGCCTTGGCCTCTGGAGGAGACGGTCTCTGCCCTGGGCAGTTCCCCCCACACCAGCCTGCCCATCACACCAGGTCCCATGAGCTGGCAGGGTGACAGTCCCCAGGGAGTCCATGGCCCCTGCACTGCCTGCCTTTCCTTCGCCCTCTCCTCTGCTCCCCAACGGTCAAACACTAGTTGTGATTCATCAACTGCCTGAAATTATATATATTAAAAA